TTTGGGAAAGCAAGGCTATGTGAAATTCATTGAAAACGTCAGCTCAACTCATATCATTGTGGGAAAATTCTACTACCAGTACTTCATCACCTTAAACTAAATAGGGTGAATAAATCTCATAATGCAACAAAATTAAATCGAAATCTCATGATTGCTCAACCAAATCTGAGTTACGCTATGCTATTTCTCACAGCATGTCATGCTTGTATATGAAAGGATGGGGTCTGGAGCACTTCATTCAGAGATTCTTTTCCAGGCCAGCTTTCTTCTTGGGCAGATGACTTGGCTTATTTTCCAGGGGCGTGGATCACAGAGACCATATCGTCTGGCCCTCTTGAGGTGCTTATTAGGTTAATCTAATTAAAGTTATGCGTATGTATTTGAAATTTAGGCAGTAAGTATTGATAAGTATATCTATTGTAGGTATCTAAAAATTTTCAATCTGGGCAATAAATAAAAATAAAAATTCTCTCCGTGAATTACTCATTTCTATTTGATTGCTTTGTAAAACAATCTTTCTGAGCTGTCCTCAGCTCATTTAGTCTGCTTAGTGTTATTTGTCAAATACTCTGCTCCTTTCTCTTAAGATAGATATTTCCTATCATAAATATGATATTGTGCTACTCAAAGTCATATTTTATTGAGCCTATTCACGGTCGATGTTTTTATTTTGATTATATCTGGATATATATGTACATATTTGATTATTTTTATTTTTAATTTCTTCTCAGTCCTATTTCAGAGCTGCTAGCCCCAAGAGCAAGTCGACAAGTATAATTTTAGATGAGACTGAGGAACTGGAAAACGAATCTGATCGCCCTGACATTACCTGGCAGAAATGCGCAGACAACTTCAGGCTGATAAAACAGCACTTCATCCGCGACTTGGAACGTAAGGGTAAAGTAAGTTATACCTCAAAAAATCCGACCTAAAAGCAGCCTTTTTGCTTTGGGAAACTGGTTCCAAAAAAAATTGAGTTCTTCTGCTTAATGCACTAAAATATTGACTACCACTAGATTGATTTTTCTTTCTTAATAAGTATTAGCATAAAAAACTGGTGATTGTTTATATAACACGTAACTGTTCTGATTAATCTCTATAAATAATACTGTTACATTAAATTCCACATTGTGTGAAAATGCTTAATTAAAAGATTTTTGGTCGATCTCTTCGGGAAAGTCATGCTGATTCACTTTGTTTGGTAGGCATTTGATTCTTATATGGCATTTAGATTGACCAACTCCACTAGACATCGCCCTTAGGTTTAGATAAAAACTAATTGAGCTCATGTCTGTGATGTCTGGCATCGATGAAACTGGAAACCATTTATAAAATACTATAAGCTAACGTTATGTCAGGAGGACTAACCGATTCCGCTTTAGATATCATATATGCAAAAAGCAAAAACTACGAAACGATTAAAAATTTATAGATAGATAGATAAAGGTAGATATAAGATAGTTTGATTAATCCCTTCACATGTCAATACAAGTAATTTTATATCTGAGTGTATGGTTGTATCTATAGTTGTGTTGGTCAGCGATAACTTTATAGTAACAGGAGGGCGTAACGTAATTCTACTGGCTCACCGAATTTCAATGACCCATGAATAGGTATGATTATGATCATGATTTGGTAGTTGAGTTTAGAATTTTCATTAAAAAATCGTTATAAACTCTAAGTGGTTTAGTGCTTTTAAAATACACTTATTAATGAATAGCATATTTTAAGCCTTTATCCTTCATTGAAGCACGAAATGATTTGTTTTTCTTTTTTTTTTATAATTTACCTTATGCACTTTACTGACGCAAATTTTGTCCTTCACAATAAACTTTAATTGCATTTAACTAAAAAAATTATATTAACATTTGTCTCGTTTATCTCTTTATTTAAGTTTCTTGATATCCTGACGATATACGTCAATGGTGCCACACTTCTGCACATTTGCATCCCTGCGGAGCAAATTTATGTTCATCTTTCAGTAACCAATACTAGTCATAAAAATGGGTACCAGCCAGCCACGAAACTGGAGAATTCACATCGGCGACCTGTTGCAATCATCGGCTGCCCTTCTTTTCCAGTAGGCAAAACGGATGTGTTTGCTACTTTTGTCTTACCTTTACAAATAAATAAGATATAAATTTTAAACCTTTTAAGTCTTATAATCTCTGGAGGTTTACTTATCATTTACGTCGTTTTACCTTTTCATGAACCAAAGAGCTTAATTTCCTTTATCATGTCTTACTTCATTTTAAGAGGGCTAAAGAACCATGTTTTATTTTTCCTAGGCTTGATAGTAGATTCTATTGGATTTGAAAATTTTTGTATTAACTACCGTTTGCTCAAACATCAACTGTCATTAGGACGATAGCGATCTCGGCCAATCAGAAAGCGCTTAGGTCACGGATGGAATATCGTGACGCAATATCTTGTGCGTCGAATTCAACGCTTTATTGATGCATTTAACTAATCACGGAACGTATTTTTTCCTGTCCTATAGCCTTATCCAAATTGACAGCTATCTTCGAGTATTCCTAACTTCATTCAAGTAAAGATAACAAGTGCCACGGTCTATAGTACAAGAGAACATGCACTAAAGGCACTTTTACGTGTATAGAAAGGGAAAACATTATGTCGTCGATATGAAGACTAAGATGGTGTGGCC